ACCACCCCCACCCCCACTTCTTCAAATTGGGCAAAAACAGTAGAAATTTTAGTGGTTCTTAACTAGCAATGTCCCAAGTGGGTTGGGTGATTGTTGGCGCTTGCTAGCCAGCCAGCCTAGTGGAAAAATTGTGAGCTCCAGGTTCAGTGAGAAATCTTGTTGCAAGGGAACAAGACAGAGAGTGACAGAGAGGAACACCTGGAGTCCTCCTCCAGCCTCAGCATGTGTATACCCAGGTGAACATGTGTACCCGCACACATATGCATATACCACACACAAACAAAAGGAAAAAGAGAAGAAGAAAATCAGAATGACAAACTTAAGCCTTACAGTACATGTACATTTTCCTAGAGAGAAAACATGTAGCTTTCAATAGAATCTCATAAGGATCTGTAATCTGAAAGTTGATGGTCAGTAAGAAGAGAGGAAAGAGGAAGGAGGGAGGGGGGAAGGAAGGAAAGAAAGAAAGTTGGGAGGGAGAGACAGGGAAACCGAGACTTAGACCTGGAGGGAGAGGAGAAGAGAGGAATACACATTCAGGTTTGAGCCACAGATTTGTAGGACCTGAATAAAGCCAGGGTTGTTTGGCGTGATGATGCATGCCTAGAATCCCTGCACTCAGGAGGTTTCAAAAGGAGCAACCTGAGTTAGAATTCAACCTGGGCTGCATAGTGACACTCTGACTCAAAACAACACAAAATAAAACACAAAGTACCAGGTTCTTCTCCAGTGTTGCACCAGGCATGAATTTTGCATTTTCTCTGCTCAAAATATCTTACTCTCCTCCTCCCTGCTCCCTTCCTCCTCTTCCACCCCATCCCTATTCCCTCAACTGGGAATAAATAAGATTCCAACTTTTAAAGTATATCCATACATCCAAAGGAATGGAAGATTTAAAGCTATAGAAACAAAAACCATAAAAACATTGGCAGAAAATGTGCATTATTTTTTTTTCCTCCTCAAAGTCAAAATAAGCTATAATAAGAGGGCCAAATCGAGCTTGCAGCCTAGATATTTTAAATAAAGTTGTGCTGGGACACAGCACACTTGCTCGTTAGTGGCTCTTTTGTATGACAATGGTTTTGAGTAGGTGAGACAGAGGCTGCAGGCCTGGTGAAGTATTTGCTAGCTGGCCTTTAACACACTAAATGGACCCTTGAAATTAAAGGTAGATATTACTAAAGTAAGGAGATGACACCTTCTGAATAAATACAACTTCGAAAGCATTAACTCCACAAACAAAAATAAAGGTCACAGGGCTGGAGAGATGGCTCAGTGGTTAAGAGCACTTGCTCTTCTTTCAGAGGACTCAGGTTCAATTCCCAGCACCCACATGGCAGCTAACAACCATCCCTAACTCCAGTTCTAGGGGATCCAATGCACTGGTTGCTCTTGTAGAGGACCTGTGTTCAGTTGCAAGTACCCACATGGTAGCTAGCAACCATCTGTAACTCCAATTCTAGGGGATCCAGAGGACCAGGTTCAGTGCCCAGAACCCACATGGTGGCTAGTAACCATCTGTAACTCCAGTTCCAGGGGATCTGACACCTTCTGACCTCTGTGGGCATTGCAGGACACAGCTGCACTTACATACCTGCAGGCGATATACTCATAAATATAAAATAAAGATAATAAATAAAATAGTATTTTTTAAAAATTAAGAAATGGTAAAGCATATAAATGGCCCCAACAGATAACTGAAAAAGTATAAATGAACAAAAAATATTACAATATTTTCTCTTGTTAACAAAAGACAACAAAAGAACTTTGACCTCAGTTTACCTGAAAAATATTTTTAAACTATTTAAAAATCTACTACCAAATATTTTTTAAATAGTATTATTTTATAAGGTGAAGATTCATGAAATGAAGAAATTAAATAGATAGTGGAAACAACAATTTTATATATGGGGGGGCAGGTATGTGCTAGTGCCACCAGAGGCCAGGGGCATCAGACCCCCTTGGAGCTGGAGTTTTGAGGGAAATGATATATTTTAAGAAATTCCAAACACTGGCCAAAGTTATTTCCAACCAGAAAAGCTTAACATTAGGAATCCATTCATTGGTGACAGAAGTGGGTTTCCCAACCTACTTTTCTCAGGAGACACGTGTGTCTTGGCCTGACCCCGCACCAGCCTGCAGGTAGAGCCATCCCCCGCGCAGACACCGCAGTTATCCTCTTTGGCATGACTTCCCAGCTGCCGATCACAGCCCACTGCCTGTGTAGAAGAGAGGGAGTGAGCTGTCTCGCTAATTATATCATTATGAAGACAGTTTTATACGTCTGAATGATAGAAAATATTAATCTAATATCATTCATATCATTCCCATACATGGCCCCTCAAATTACAAGAACTGAAGCTGTCCCTTTGCAACCTTACTCTTTTGATTGTATTTCAAATGTGTATGCATAGAAAAGCAAACAAACACCACAAATTGTATTTTCCCCTTCTCACTAGCCCCCCTCTTGAGACAGGGTCTTGTGGAACACAGACTAGCCTCAAATTTGCTGTGCAGCTGAGGATGACCTTGAGTCTTTGATCCTCCAGCTTTTTCCCCCAGATGCTGAGAATTCAGGGCCGCTTCACCACACCCAGTGTAAGCAGTGCTGGGGACTGAACCTGGGGCTCCATACACACTAGGCAAGAACCATTCACCGAGGCACAGTCCCAGGTTCTCTCCCTACCTTTTTCTTTCTCTCCATCCCTACATTTGCCTCTGACTCTCATTTCCTCTTGCATCTGGACCTATCCTCCTGGATCACAGTATTTCTGTCCATCTCCATCTATGCTATGAATCCTTATCACTATCTGCACTTATACCTGTATCTCCACCTCCACATAATTATATCCATATATCTAGAATTATTGCAAAGAGGAAAAATCAGGAGCACTGTCTCACATAAAGAATGTGTATACTGTTATCTATCAGTCCATTGTGAGTTATTCGATATGTCAGTATTTGTTAGATAGAAATCTTCCCTACATGTAAAAGGCTGGTTTATATTTCTTATTTCACAGATGTCTTTTGCAGAAAGTATGTCTGATAATATCAACTAATCTATAGTTTATCTCTACTTCCCACAGATATTCAATTTTACTCCTGAGCCTTCTGTGCAGGGAGTTTGAGGCAGAGAGCCATGTACAAATCTTGACTCATATATGTCCTTCCAAACACAGAATGCTGAGCAAGTCAGACCCTCAATGGCCCATTTCCCTCAGCAAAGAAGCAGAGATAAAAATGTCCCTGTGTACTTCACAGAGGGTCCAGTGAAGGTTAAAAGAGAACATTAACATAAAACAAACAGTGATTGGACCATTATAAAAAGTTCACCAAAAGGGTCAATTTGATTATTTCTCTCTGCTTTTCACTTTCTTTGTGTGGCAGTTGGCAGCGGCATCAAATCACCCTCTATACCAGGTGCTGAAGAGAAAGCTGGACGGAGTTCAAACCACATCTATAGGATATTTCTTTCCAAAATTTTGGTATTGAAGGGAAGGAGAAAGATGAAATGAACATTTCAGGGAGAGGCAGGAAAAGTTCCAACAATATTTAAGGACTAGCCTGTGCTTTGAGGTATTTTCAGACTCACCCAAGGCTGTCAGGAAGAAAGGGTCTACATTTGTTCTATGCCATCACAAATGGTGAAAGTACAGAGTTAAGTATAATTTAGTTCATTGTGAAAAAGTCTGAAAAGTCAGACTCTTTGGTGGGAAAACTGTAGTAGGTATTAAATTATTGGCCATGTAGTTGAATTCAATGACTTTTGTGATCCTTTCACACTCTGATTATATGACTTTAAAGATAGAAATAAACAATAATGGCTGATTTAAAATTTTTTCGTGTGCATATGTGTTCATGTATGAGTCCAAGGACACACATCAGGGCATGCATGTGGAAGACAGAGGACAACTTTGGGTGTCAGTCTTTGCCTTACACATAGTCTGAGAAAGGGTCTCTTGTAACCACTGCATATGCCAGGCTAGCTGGCCCACATGTGCCGAGAGATCTTCTGTCTCTTGACTCCCCAGAGCTGGGATTATAGATACAAATTCCAGTGCCTGGCTTTTTAAAAAAAATTTTTTATTAAGCTTTTGTACATTTCATACAACAGTTCTTTATCAAATTAATCAAATCAAGTGCCTGGCTTTATACGGGTTCTGGGGATCAAATTTAGGTCCTCTTCTTGCACAGCAAGCACTTTATCCACTATCCCTATAACAGCAAGCTGATTTTATTGGATGCTTACCATGTGCCTGGCATTATGCCACAAACATTGCCCGTGTTCTTTCATTTCTTCTTCATGACAATCTTAAGACACAGGTGAGATATTTTATACAGTTTACAAATAAGAACGCTCAGTATTGAGGCTAAATGACTTGCCCACATGGCACAGCTAGTACATAGTGCCAGTAACGTTCTTAAACCCCAGACTCTCTCACAGCAGACTATTAACACAGTGCCACACATTCCTCCACCTTTACTCTGAGCAGAAAGACAACAAAGATCCCTGTTACAGAGGGTTTTATATGAATATTTACTAGTACATGTGGAATAGCTTAAGAGTGATTGATTCTGGAAATATACTTGCATGGTTGGGATTGGACCAGTGAGTAACTGTGTTCATGCAACTTTCTCCAAGGCGGATAATTCTGCCATGAAATTATAGACATGGTCTGCCTGGGCCAAGCTCTGTCCACACATGTCACTGTCCCTGAGCACTTTGCATTTCATGAGGATGATAATCACCCTCTGGTCATCCAGGAAGGGTGTGGGTTGAAGAACTAGGATGGGCTTGTTTTTGAAGAGTGTTTGGGGCCTTGCAAAATCTTGGGCAATCGAATTCCTCCCAATCACTTCTATTTGCTTCATAATTTTTTAAAGTTAAAATTCGTCCAAATCTTACAGCCAAATAAAGCATGTGAAAACATCACAGAAAAATGATATTTGAAAAGGTCTGATTGCCTTGTGATTCATCAAGTCTGAGCCAGAACTGCCCTTGAAATTGAGGGATGACTGAACTTTGGCTCTCACAGCCTGCCATAGTGGACAATAAGCAACTCTTGAAATATTGTCTGAAGTATGTTCAACTTCTGTGACATCTCCTAATGTCAAGATATTTAATTATAGTGATTTATAAACTGCTAACTGATAAACATACCATACATATTAACATCAATTAAATAATCCTTTTCTATAATGCCAAGCATTACAAGTACAAATTAATAAGACAAGATCCTTATCTTATAACATACTTAATGAGACAAGTTAAAAGATACAAGAAACAAGATCACATAAACACTTACTTTAAATATATGAGCAGTTCCTTTTGGAAGACCTATTCATCTATAAATATAACTTCAACAAAGATTATTTCAAAGTTCAGGCAGATGAAGTTTAACTAAATGCCATTAATCCAAATTAAGCAAAATGTGAATTTTCCAGATAAATCAAATTTAATCCTTCAAGAAGGAGATAATTTTTAAAAATGAACTTCTGTGATAGCTCTGAAAATTGGATTCTACTTTAGAGGAAATTTGAACATTTCTGGCTTCAAAACCAAGCATGCATGGAGCTGTGGTCATCATCGGGAATATGCATAAACATTTAGGACTGCACCACCCCACTTCTACTAGAAGTCATCTATTGCCACTATCTTTGGCCAATGAACTATGAACACAACAAACCTTCTGTAAGAAGGCTTCAGGGGTGGTATTGAGGGTCTCATGGTCTCTCTCTCTCTACTGCTGCTATAGGAAAGGCACATTCAGAGAGAAAATCTTCCTCAGCCTGTGTCTCTCCACTATTCCAAGACAACAAACCTTGATGGCCTCTGTTGGCAAGTGGCATAAGCAAGAAGTGGCCTTTAATGTTTTAAGTCACTGAGCTTGGAGGTTGTTAGTTTCTGCAGGAAAACTTAGCCTGTATTACACAGGAGTGTGATTTGACCTAGTCACACATTAAGCAAAGTCAGAGATAGAAAAGTGATTTTTAAGAACTAAAAGTTTCAAGTTAAATCCAGATCTCCAGCTTCTCTTGACATAAAACAAACAAACTCTCTGACGTGCTGATGTTTTGTTGTCACCTTCTGTGTCATCAAAAATGGTGACAGCTATAGAGCATAGTTTAGCACAATATGAGAACATTGGGAACAGTGGCTCCTGGGTGGGAAAACTGTAGGTTTTGAATTTTTACCCCAGTAGCTGAATCCAATGACTTCTGTGAACCTTTCACCTTGAGCTTGTATTCTGTCATTGCAGTGCCTGTCACTCTGTCCAGGCCTGAGCAGCTTCTCTGCAGGGATGTGTACATATGTACGTGTATGTTAGTAGGCTATCTATGTATGCATCTCCTATTGTACTGTCTTTACAGAACCACAGCCTATTTTCCCTTAAACTTTAGCTTTACTTGTAGTCATACAAAAAGTGTCATTAGTTGTTAAGCAAAGCAGGAGAGAAAATACCTTCATTTTTAGTTGTCCTCTTCTGTTTATTTCCATTCAAAATCTGGAAAGAGTTGCAGAGAACCAACCAAGGTCACCTAGCCTCTCTGACTAATTCTTTTCAGCAACCTAGATTAAACCCAGCTCAATATAATACTAAAATGAGCATGCCCTACAATATCCCTGCCTGACATCTTTCTTTTCCTGATATCCATGTTATGACCCTGAACTGAGCATACCCAGAAATATGTCTATCATCTTTCTTTCTTGAAACACAACCTTAAAGTTATGCTCAGAAATGTGCAGCCTAAACTGAACCTCTTTCTAGCTATGAACACTCATCAGAGTGTTCGTGTATACCCTTAAAATTTAATCTGTGTTGAAGTCTTAATCTTCAAAATGACACTATTGGGGTGGGGCCTTTGGGGAGAGATTAGATCATGAGGGTGGAACCTTCAAAAATGGGATTAGTGGCCTTATAAAATAGGCCCTGGAGACCTCCCTGATCCCTCACAACATGCGAGGACCAGGACAAAGCCATCCACAGACCAAGACGTGGGCTCTCACTGAACAATAATCTTGCAGTGCTCTGATCTAGGACTTCCAGCCTAGAAGCAAATTTCTGCTGTTTATGAAACCCACTCTATAGTAGTTTATTCATAGTAACCTACACAGGCACCCTAGGGAAATGATCTCTCCTCTGTAGGGCCCATTTTCCTCATAAACCCCATTTGGATGGGGTAGTCTCTTTACCTATTTCCTCAGTTGATGATGGGC